TGACATAATATCTAGTATATATACTTACAAGCAATATTATATATACATGTAAGCATAATGTATGTATATATAATTAAATGCATATGTAATATATACAGTATACATACATACATAAATGTATATAATATATGCATGCATATATAGAATATAGTAGATATGTGTATGTATTATGTATGTGTGCTCTGGCTAGGAACTCAAATATGTATACTATATATACACATAAGAATATATTTAAATATTGTATTTCATATAGTAATATATGATAAGTATAATATATATAGCATATGTCATACATACAAAATACAATATGAAATACTATATATAAAATATACTTACATTTGTATTTATTATATATATGTATGCGGGTGTATACATAGAAGGATTTTCTAGAATTTAGGAAAGGTTCCTATTCACATTGAATTTGTAGCTCTAATGTTCACACCCTCCTTTTTCTTGTTCCAGACACTCATTCCTGTAAGCACTTTTGGAGAACATTCTGATATGTCATGTGCAGATTAGTATGGCTCCCTGGGAGGTCATATTACAAAGAGTAATATGAATATGCCTTGTCTCATCTCTCAAGCGATGTTATGGTAGTCAGTGATTGTCTTGCCAAAGCAAGACAGGAATTGTTTTTTCTTTTTTATTGTGTGGGACCTAGGGCTTGAACTCAGGGCCTGGATGCTGTCCCTGAGCTTAAATGTTTTCTCTTTCTCTTCTTTCTCAAGGCTAGCATTCAACCACTTTCTATCTGCTTCTTGCTATCTTCTATGTGCTACCAGCTTCTGTCTGGTTTCTTGGTGGTTCACTGGAGATGAGTGAGAAGGATTTTCCTGCCTGGGCTGGCTTAGAATCATCCAGATCCTCAGATCTCAGTTTCCTGATTTGTTAGGATTACAGACATGAATCACTGGTACTGTGCTAGAAACTCAAACATTTTAACTCCCAAATATAAAGATGTTTATCTGATGTAAACCCCCCCAAAAAAACAAAATAAAAACAAAAAACTAAACAACAGCAACCACAACCCCCCTCCATGTTTCAATTGTTAGTAATTTTACTCAGATCTGAGAACCATAGAGATGTTACAAGTAGAGGGGGCTTGGGAAAATCCTCTGTGCTCTACCATGGAACCAAAAGAGGCACAGAAAGTTGCAGTGATAAACTCACTCCTGTAATCCTAGCTACTCAGGAGGCTGAGATCTGAGGATCGCAGTTCAAAGCCAGCCAGGGCAGGAAAGTCTGTGAGACTCTGATCTCCAATTAACCATCAGAAAACTAGAAGTGGTGCTGTGGCTCAAGGGGTAGAGTGTTAGCCTTGAGCTGAAGAGCTGAAGAGCTCAGGGACAGTGCCCAGGTCCAGAGTTCAAGCCCCACAACCAACTAAAAATAAGCTTCAGTAATTTGCCTCAGGAGACACAGCTGACATTGATAGCCCAGAGACTGTGATCTAAATATCCTAGATTCTAGGTCCAAATAATTAGAAATTTCTGAGTCATTAACGTAAAACAACAACAATTAGAGCTTTCAGTAGCTTTCCAGATATAAAATAAGTTTCTCAAATTTTACATGCGAACCACAGAATTCCTTGCGGGAAGGAGGGGCTTCCTATGGCACTCCACTACATGCTTATCACATTTTCTCTCTCTCTGTCTCTCTGTCTCTCTCTGATCAGCCATGAGTCTTGAATGCCTGAGTAGCTAAGATTACAGGTGTGAACCACCAGTGCCTGGCAATGATCTCATTCTTATTCCTATCCACCACATGCCAGCGTCACTGCCTTTGTCCCACTGTGACCAAACATCCCCAGACATTGCCAAATGTCCCCCAGGAGGCAAAATTGCCCCCCAGGTGAGAAGCTCTATTATTGAAATATTAGGTCACAGATGCTGTTCCTAACCCAGAATCGTATGGGACCACTTCATGCCACCACTTTCCCTATTCAGCATAGCATATAGTTGTAGAATATTCCTTTCGAAGCTGTAGGGTCTAAGGACTTCCATTCAAGAATTTCAAACCTCTAACCGAATAGCATAGGGCTTGCCCGACAGCACCCCCCCCCCCCCGGGGCAGGTACTCTGTTTTCTTATGAGGTGGTAACTACAGTGCTGGAATCTAGTCATTCCAGATTAGCCAAGGTTACAGGTCCTTGCTCCTTCTGTTCATTATTTCAACAGGCATTGGAGCACAAGATGTGCTAACTACTGTCCAGGGCACTGGAAAAGGTAGAGTTAATAAATAACATTTCTGATCTCCACTCCTCCAACCTCCTTGGAGACACATACATGTATGAACTCCCATCAATCCTGTGAGAAGTCTGAGGAAAGATGTATGTGTGGGATTGTAGGGAATTAGGGGGTGTATGGGATTGACACTGAAGGTGGTCAAAGACAAACCAGAACGCTTAAGTAGATAAGAGAACAGGTTTGCCAGGCAGGGAGAACAACATATCTAAAGAAGGAAAGAGCTAGAAACGGTGGCTTTTGTATTAATCTAGAAGAAACAGCTACAGCAGAGTAGGCAGGGCTCAGGTCTGGAGGAACCAATTGTACTGAGTTAAGGACTTTGGAATTGATTCTGAAGATAAACAGAAACAGGGAGAATACCATCAGATCTGCATTTGAGAAAGATCTAGAGTCCAGGAAAATCACAAAGGTGGTAGTTAGAACGCACAAAAACAAAACAAAAAACCAAAACCCAACCCAAAGCAAAGCAAAACAAAACAAAACAAAAACCCACACCAGGTTCACCTGCAGGTAAACAATGTGCTTTCAAAAGACCAGTTTTTCCAGAAATCTCTCTAGGTTTCTTACTCCATCTTGGGAGGGATTCCTCTCCTAGGAAGGCTACAAACTATGAAGACCTGGCAAAGAGGCCAAGGTGCAGCCTCTTCTACTAACGCAGGAATGTGGGAGGAGGAGGGAGGCCTTTTCAAAGCCAGAAGAACTTTTTTCTTCTGGAAGCTACAACTTCCCAGCAAGGTTGGGCTCCCTGTCATCTAAATTCCCTACAAAAAATTCAGGATCTACCTTTACCAGGAAGGAAAAGAAAAAAAAATGTAGCTAGTCACTGGGACTGCTCATACCACACGCCAGTAATTCTAGCTACTCAGGAGGCTGAGATTGGAGGATCAGGCTTCAAAGCCAGGCTGGCCAGATAATGAATCAATGAATCAGCAAAAAGTGGTGTGGTTCAAGTGGTAGAGCACCAGCCTTAGAGTGACAAAGCTAAGGGAATGTACTTTGGCCCAGAGTTCAAGTTCTAAGACTAGTACAGAAACTAACTGGAACCATTGTTTAGGCTCTGCCTGGGCTAAGCAGGCCTATATGAAGCTCAGTAGATTACCACCAGGCCTTTATGAAGCAGATGTTCTGTTTGGAATGTCAATTGGGTATGTTGAAATGGTTGTCTGTCCTGGTTAAATGAAACTCAGGGGAAAAAAATGCTAGATGTGCAAGGCTTTGAGTTTGTCTACAGAACAAATGGCCCTAAAGGCCATAAGAGGAGAGTTAGAAAGTCCTTGAAACTGTGCTCCTAGGACAGAAATGCCATCTTCTCAGGCCCAGAAGCTTGCCCCTTTGGGTGTGTGAGGCTAACTAAACTAAATCTCTCAAGAATGCCAGTTAGGAGGCTGGGACTGTCAGAACTAGTGTTAGGCCCATAACCCATTGCTTGCTTGCTCTAAGAGCTGACTTGCTGATTTGCAGCTGACACAGAGTGGCCTTCTAGCTGATTCATCCATTACTCAGAGGGTCCAGGCTTCCAAACAGTTTCACCATCAAATCTAGGTGATTTTTATTTATTTATTTTTGCCTCCAGTGACATTTATCTCCAGCCTATCCCAGTTTTAACCTACCCTATTGGATCGCTCAAGGCAAATCTGCTTTGATTAGGTCCCACCTTTTTTGTTGTTGTTGTTTTTTAAACCTAGTAACTTTGAAGTCCAACCTTCTAAGCTCTAGAGTCCCTATAGGCAATGTGGTTATCTTCCAGAACATTCCTGAGGGTGGTTAATTGCTTTCACTTCTGCCCCAGATCCTTTCAGGGAATTCTCCATCTCTAGCTGACAAGTGGAGAGGACATTGCATTTTATTATTACTATTTTTTTCCCCAATAGGATGTTGCTCACCTCTTAGCCATGGGCTGTACAGCATAAATTGGACAAAACCAAGGCCCTAAAGAGATCTCTGGCTCCTCAGAGCTCAAGGAATGAAGATCTGTTGATCTTACTGACCACATTGAAGATATTCCACTTGGTTCACTGAAGATTTCCACCTGCCTGTTTCCCTCCCCACTCCCCTGCTTGGTCACATCCCTCTCAATTCTCATCCCCCACAGGTGAAAAGAAGGGGGGGGGGGGGGGGGAATGGAGCTATCTTAACATGGGTAAGATTGGCCTACACATATAAAATGCAGCATTTCCTCTGTAAGAATTTGGAAGAGGCAACTTTTTAAAAAGATGCCTTTACCCAGTTTTCAGAATGCGAACTCTTCAACCTTCCCACCTCAGCCTTGCCTTGAAAATAACTTACCTGGATCCTTGCATTTTTTTTTCCTTCTCTGCAGGTTTAAATCAAAAAGGCTTATTTGAGGAAAAAATGTCTTGCTTTCTTTTGCTTTTTAAGTGGGTGGCGTTTTAATGAACTAACGGCAGGAACAGTACATAGGTGTTAAAAAGCAAAATGAACACATTGAACATGCAGACTTAACCTAAAGGGACCCCAAAAGCTTTTTAGTTACCTTAAGGGTCTCTAGCTGGTGTTTCAGGAGCTTTTCTGGTTAATCTCGCCATTTCTTCCCCTCTCCTCCCCCCACCACGTCCTTCACTTATTACTTCAGGTGTTATCTATGTGTTTATCAGAACTTGTCTTGGTCGCGCCCAGTCACCTCTGTCAGCCAGAAGCAAGACCACGTTTCCTTAAATCAGAGCCCCGAGGACTCCACCTGGGAACTACATTACCCAGAAGCGCCCGCGGCCTTCGCAGGAAGGACGTCTGCGCACTAAGATACTCAGTTCCAAGTTTGGAGCTTTTAGCTGCCAGCCCTGGCCCATCATGTAGCTGCAGCACAGCCTTCCCTAACGTTGCAACTGGAAGGAAAATCACTTTCCAGTCTGTTTTGCAAGGTGTGCATTTCCATCTTGATTCCCTGAAACTCCATCTGCTGCATCGGTCAAGAGAAACTCCACTTGCATGAAGATTGCACGCCTTCAGTTTGCATCTTTGTTGCAAAACTAGCTACAGAAGAGAAGCAAGGCAAAGTCTTTTGTGCTTCCCCTCCCCCATCAAAGGCAAAGGGGAAAATGTCTCAGTCGAAAGGTAAGAGGCTATTTGCATTACTTGCAAAAAATGCAAAGGGTTATGCATGCATTTACGAATGCATGGATGCAATTTTCGCCTCGTGATTGCATTTTTAAGTTTGAGGTTTTCCACAGCTCAGTTGCATTTCCTGTTTAGTATGTCTTTTTTTTTTTTTTTTTGCAGACACAGAGAGTTCCTGTAAGGCAGGGCTTGCAGTTCAGCTGTGCATTGACGTTATTTGCATTCTTCTGCTAGGATTAGTGAGCTCTTTTTGCCTTTTGCACAGTCAGGAGAGATATAGCAGGTTGGTAGAGTGTAAATGTGCAATGCTTTATATAATTGTTCAATTATTTAGCATGCACACATATTATAAGGCATTTTGTATGCAACAGGAATACAAACTTTTCAGAAGTCGAGGTGAAGATGAAAGGTAAAACTTGAGTGAAAGTACTAGGAAATTAATGCAATCGTATATTCTTTTGGGAATAAACCCGTTGGGGTGTCAGCATTTAGTTAAATTTCCTCTGAGTTCGCTTTGAACATTAGGCGACTTTTGATTTTTAAAGTAAGTAAAGGTGAAGTGTGGAGAACAGCATATTAAAAAAAAGAAAAGAAAAAGCAAGCAAGAAGTCTTGCTCTCCCGAGATTTTGCACTTACACACCAATTGCTTATTGGCTCAAGGTATTTAGAGGTAGCTGTGGGAACCTTCGATGTGTTTGCTTATTTGGGGGATGCTTTGTGTGTGTTGGGGGAAGGAAATGTGAGGGGGGAAAACTGTACTATTGCACTAGCAACCATAATGCAATCTTTTAAGTGTTGAATGAGATATATTTAATCAGCTATACTAGTTCAGAAGTTCAGGATTAAAGTGGCTTGCTTGCTTTCCTCCTTTTCCTCCTTAATTTCTTCTTCTTCTTCTTTTTTTTTCTTCCAGAGTTGTATTTTCCAGGCTTAATGTAATCCTGGGGGGAGGGTAAGAGGGGGTGCACTTAAATCAATCTTCATGTGGCATGGGTTTGAAGGGGTGCTGTCAGATACCTGGGGGAACCCATCCGTCACCTGTTTTAGAACAATTCCTTCTTCCCCACAGAGAAAGCATCTGCTATCTGAGAATATAGGAAAAGGAGAGGTAGTTTAGGTACATTCAGGATACCTGGGACAACGATTATTAAAGTATCTAATAAGCTTTTTTTTTTTCTGCTTTTCTTCCTTGCCACTTTTATTTGCAGTTGCACTAGTTTTTACTTTTACCCGGTGAAAGTCACCTAGCTGAGCCCAAGAAGAAGGTGATGATTCTCTGGATTTCAAAGGAGAACTCTGCTTCTCTTTGAATATCAGGGGAGAAGGAAATTCTGAGAAAAACCAAGAGGGCCTTAGAACCTAGGGATTGGTCTTTTAGGGTGGAGATGCCCCTTACCTGAAGAAAATCTAAAATGAAATTGAACCCGAGAAATAATAGTTTTGAAGAGGGAGCCCCATTTCACCATGACATATTCAAGTCATGGCATCTGCCTCCTTTTTGTTTGGTAAACATCCACTCCTTCATCCCATTTCATTTCGTAGATGCATAAGGCATAGCATGACATAAGTTTTATGTATGGATGTATACATATGTGTAAATGTATGTGCAGACAAACTTGTATGGGTTTTTGTGTGGATGGAATTTGGTGTGTAACCTAGGGTATCTCACAATCACTCTTTTCTGTCAAGGAATTTATATGGTTGGTGGAAGCAGGCAAGTCTTTCCCTTGTCCTAAAACACCAAATAAGAGGACAGGTATAGAATCAATGAGTGTTGGAGCTTCACGGCTCTTGTGTGTGTGTGTGGAGGGGGGACTAGTCAGGCCTTATGAAGAGGGTGTGGGCTGTGAATTTTGTTCTTTGGACCAGAGGGGCTCAACTAAATCATGTTCCTTTCTGCCTGTTTCCTGCTTCTTACTAGAGCAAGCTTTGCCCTTGGGAAGTGGACACTGCCACAGAGGGTGTGCCTATAATGGATTAGATGATCCTTTAAATCAATTTCCATTTACCTGGCTGGGCTTTCTGAACAGTTTGAAAAGTATCTGATATGAACATGGAGTTCTTCTCCAAAGGGAAAAATTATTAGTGGGCCGGGTGTATGTGTGTGTGTGGGGGGGAGAAAAGGGTGATCATTTTTGAAATGGCATAGAAGACTTGGCATGGGTTTGGAAAAATGGGGAATTACCTTCATTCAGCCAGGAGACTAACCTCAAATGGCCCAAACGGATTTTTACAGTACTAAACTTCTTTCTAATAGGCTAGCCAAATGAAATGGGAGGAAAAGTGAAAGGTGGATACAATCTCCCCGTATTGAAGAATTTAACAACATGTTCAATTCCAGGCTTTTTTTTTTTTTGAGGAACTTTCTAGATCACTATAATTCAGTTTTACAGACCTCTAATTTAAGGCCCAGCAGGGACAAAGAATTACAGACTGCTGGAAGCTGCAAGGACTGGGTCACTTCTGTTCAGTGTTACCAACTGTTGGGATTCCCAGAAAGAATTTCTTAAAAAGAAATTTTGTTTTCCTCAGTTGTAACTTTAGGTGCTATTGCTTTTCAGCTTGTTTATATGAGCTGTCTGGAGTTGAGCTGACTTCAATTTTTTTCCCCAAATATTAAAACAGGAATATGCTTTTTGAGGAAATCTGAAATGTGAGTTAGCAGGAAGGGCATTCAGAAAGTGCAGGAATTCCTGAACATTACAGGAAGACAAACTACAGGAAAAAATGTGTCATCTATACTAGCCAGGAGGGGGGGAAAACTCCCCCAACAGACCAACAAGTATTGTTATCAGCCAGAATGGTCTTGAGAGAGAGGGAGAGAGGGAGGGAGGGAGAGAGGAAGAAAGGGGGGAGGTTGGGTAAGAGGGGCATCTCCCAGTCCCAGTTCACCTGAAAAATAGGCAGAAAGTTTGACCCAGTTAAAATACACTGTTTCTCACTTCTCTTTTAAGTCACCTTCAGAAACAGCAGTTGATTTCTTTTTTCTGGTCTACTGTTGTACTAAGTCAGTCATGTAAGAAATAGCTCTAAGGCATAATTCCGAAGCACGTAGAGTTGAAGACCCACCTAACCCTACTGAGAGCTATGCTTCTGTGATTCATGCCAGCCTGGGACAGGAGATATGTCAATGTCCCATTCTGTGTAAATTCCTTTGTTAGGTTGTACCAGACGGCCTTGTCACGCTTAGCCTGTAATCCGAGCCAGTATGTTTTATAACTCCGTACATCTCAGGACACAGAATCAGAATAGGTACCTTGAGTCTCCGGAGTGCTTGTTCTGTAGGAATGTTGTTTTCAGTTCTTTGCAGTGTGAATGAAGCACATTGGCTGAAGGAGGCTTTGGGGATGGTCTCTGGGTGGCACCTTCCATGATAGATCCAAGTGGTGAGACTCTCATGGTTCTGTTCTTCACAGATTGGGATCATTTTAACTCCTCCCTAATATTTTAAAACTTGGAAAATGTACAAGGATTGCCCCCCAAAACCTAAAAATGTAAAACAACTACTATGTCAAATGATACGTGTTTTATTATGAAAACATCTGAGAGATAAAGAAAATAAGAATGGCTAGTTACTGAGGTATATATTTTTGGCATATAACCTTTGAGTGTTTATTCTGTCTATGTATGTATGTATGTATGTATGTATGTTTTGTCTATGTATCTATGAATAAAAAACCCAGAATGAGTGTAAAAATCTCTTTAGTTACCTTTCATTTCCTGCACCCAGATACTGTGAAATATTTCCAAGTTAATATATTTCTATGTTCATAACATCTAGTTCTATTGCAGTTATTTAATCAGAATCTTAATGTTTAATAGTATGTTAATGGTCATCAGTATTGATACATTGTTGTTAATTATCAATTATTCATTAATATTTATTAATACTTATGAATATTACCATGATGGTCATTATACACATACATTACTGTCTTATACACTAAATTCCAGAAAGTGAATTACCAGTAGTGAATGTACAACTCTTCTTCTAACACCTCCTCCCTCCCCCATGATTTTCTCTACCTTTGAAAATAGTTTTTTTTTCTTTCTTGGAGGTAGTCCTGGAGCTTTGAACCCAGGGGTAGGATGATATCCTTGAGTTTATTTTACTCAAGGCTAGCCCTATACCACTTGAGCCACAGCTCTACTTGCAGGTTTTTCTTTGGTGGTTAGTTGGAGATAAGAATCTCAAGGACTTTCCTGCCTGGGCTGGCTTTGATCGGTTTATACTTAGATCTCAGCCTCCTGAATAGCTAGCACCAGTTCCTAGCTGAGAATGGTTTTTTTTTTTTTTATTGTTATAAAAATGATGAACGATCATTGGAAAATTTAAACCAAAGGGAAACTCCTGATAAGAATATAAAAATTCAGTGTCACACTTCTAAGAGCTAGTGCTAATATTTTTGCATGTGCCTATGCATACTTATACATATTCTTTTATTGTATGTGATATTTCACAGCTTGCCCTTTTGTGATATGCCACCATGCATGTATCTTGGACATCTTTCCATCTTGATACATTATATCTCATTCTCTGTCCCAATTACATGTTTTAGGTTCCTAAGAATGTCAATATTTATGTACTCAGTCTCCCTTTGCATGTTCATATATTTTATTTACAACATTGAAGCTTCTAAATATTTTCTGCATGTTCACCCAGTCATTTCTTTAAAATCATTCCTAGATGTGCAAGTCCTGGGTCAAAGAGCATGCGAGAGCTGTTTTCCATATGCCCTCCACAGAGGTCAGCGGTGATGTCTGGAAGTGTGTGTCGCCTTTCACATCTCATGTCAAATATTGCCAAATAAATTGCTGTGTGGGAAGATTATGCCTTTTCTTGATCCTGCTTATAATACCTTGAAAAAAGAAAAAAACAACAACTTTGCCAATGTGATTAAAAAATACTTTGAGCTGGATACCTGTAATCCTAGCTACACCGGAGGCTGACAGCTGGGCATTATGGTTCAAAGCCAGCCCCAGCAGGAGAGTCTGA